ATCCCATTCATAATAGACCCCCCAAAACATACCTTGAAACAAATCTAACCAAGGAAGTAAAAGACTTATACAATGAAAAGGTTAAAATACTGAAGCAAGAAATGGTAAAAGACACCAGAAGATGGAGAGGCCATCCGTGCTTATGGATTGGTAGGATTAATACTGTGAAAATGGCCATCCTACCAAAAGCAATCTGCAAATGCAATGCAATCACCATCAATATTTCAATGCAATTCTTCACAGAGATGGGAAAAAAAATCTTAAAAGTAATGTGGGGGAACTGAAGATATGGCTGAACAGTTAAGAGCACTGGCTGCTCTTACAAAGGACCCAGGTTCAGTTCCCAGCATCCACATGGTGGCTAACAATCATCCATAACTCCATCTCTAGGGAATCTGATGCCCTCTTCTGGTCTCTGTAAGCAGTATATGCACTTAGGGCACTAATATACATGCAGGCAAAACATTCATACATAAAAATAATTTTAAAAATTAAAATTAATATGTAAGTACAAAATAGTCCAATAACCAAAACAGTATTGAACAACAAAAACATGGTTAGAGGTCTCACCATTCCTGACCCAAATTACACTACAAAGCCATAGTAGTAAAAATTGTGTGGTACTGGCACAAAAAAGGACATACTGATCAATGGAACAGAATTGAAGACCCAGATATAAGTCCATATACCTAAGTCCACCTGATATTTTACAAAGATGACAAAATACACATTGGAGAAAATGCAACATCTTTAACAAATAATCCTGGGAGAACTGGATATCTACATGTAAGAATGAAATTTGATCCTGTTCTCTCACTCTACACAAAAATCGATTCCAAATGAATCAAAGATCTCAATGTTAGACCTGAAACTCGGAAACTTCTAAAGGAAAGAATAGGGAGCACACTTCCGGATATAAGCTCAAGTAAGGGCTTTCAGAATAGGACGCTGGTCACCAGGAAAAAGGACTGACAATCAAAACAGACTCTCATGAAAATAAAAAGCTTCTGTGCACAAAAGAAACTGATAATTGACTAAAGACACAGCCTAAAGAATGGGAAAAAATATTTTCCAGCTATACACCTGGAAGAGGATTCCTGTCTAGAACATACAAGGAGCTCAAAAACAGAAATAACTAAACGCCAAGAAAACAAACAATCCAATTCAAAAATGGACTATGGACCTGAACAGAGAGTTCTCAAAAGAACGACAAATGGCTAATAAACATTTTTTTTATTTCAACATCCTTAGCTGTCAGAGAGATACAAATTAAAACACTTTGAGATTCCACCTCACTCGAGTTAGAATGGTTGTCATCAAGAAAACAAATGACAAAAGCTGACGAAAATGTGGGGAAAAGGGACCCTTATCCAGTGTTGGTGAAAGTGTAAACTAGTGAAGCGACTATGGAGACCAGTGTGGAGGTTCCTCAAAAACCTAGAAATAGATGTACCACGTGATCCAGTTGTCCCACTCCTGGGCCAAAGGACTCTATATCCTACTACAAAGATACTTGCTCATCCACATTCTTCACTGCTCTATTCACAATAGATGTACATTATCTGATGAATAGATAATGAAAATGTGGGATTTATACATAATGGAATTTTATCCCACTGTAAAAAAATGAAATTATGAAATTTGCAGGTAAATGGATGCAGTTGAAAAAAATCATACTGAATGAGGTAACTCAGACCCAGAAAGACAAATGTCACATGTTCTTACTCATATGTGGATGCCAGTGTGGAACCTTTAGATTTGTGTGTTTAACTTGGAGTACTACAGAAGCCAGGAAACTAGAAAGGGGTCAATGGTGGGGGGAGAAAGATCTTAAGGGAGGGGGCCTAGTAAAACACAGGTAACATGAACGGATAAAAGGGACTAATGGGAAGTTTAAATGGCAGGGGGTGGTGGAAGGGTAGGCAGGTGATGGGGTAGGGAGAGGGATAGCTAATATTAGGGATGCTTGAAAATTCCATATAAAAACATACTGTTTTATAAACTTTTTACACACACACACACACACACACACACACACACACGCACAAAAGAGTTGAATTGGAGTTATCCTACACAGAAGATTATGCACATTCCAGAAATCATACATTGACAAATAAAAAGGCCAGTGCTAGGTATAGGATACCGTCCCTTGAGTGGTTGGTCAGAGGTATCTCAAGACTCCAAACACAATAAAGGCTATTGCCATTGCTTTTAGTTGCCCACCAGAAAAGTCGGCAACCATCTTACCAAGCTGTGAACCCTTCCAAATACATTAACAAGTAGGCTGGCAAGATACGTCCATGGATGTAATAGTGGCACAAATGTTAGAGTAACAATCAAATGCTTCCTGGTTGGATTTAAGGCCTGCTCCACATGAGGTAACTCATGCCTGGTACTAGAAATCTGGCCAAGAACCCACATTTAGGGAGCTCACAGGCCCCAGGAGTGAACCTACTACTATTATTTTGTTGAATAGACATAGTATCGAACTGATCTGTAAATAAGTATTTCTATATCCATAGATGACTACAGGTCTCAGATCACATCAAAGAAGTTTCTTTGTACAGTCGATGGACTGTAATGCAGAAACTGGTCATAGTACAGAAAATAAATGACTGTGGAGTGTCCAACCACAAGTGGGATGCCTTTATTACACCCCTTCTCAAGGCTCAGGAACCACTTAGGAAGAAGTGGCAGAAAGACTGTAAGAGCCAGAGTTTGGGGGGCCAGGGGGAAACTATGTCTTCTGACATGACAGGACAAGTGCACTCATGAACTCACAGCAGCTGTGGTTGCTGCACATGACCTACAAGATCAAACCAGTCACCGTCCTCGCATGAGTCAGGGAGGGGCTCATGAGCCCCCACCCCTAGCTGAGGAGTTGATTGGCGGTTGAAGGCTGCTAGGGGAGGGAGAGTCCATTTTCTTTAAGGGTATGATCCCTGGTAAATCAATCAAGCTCCAGTGGGTGGCCACACATCCATATATATATGCAATACCAATGGGACTCAGTAAGCTATTAAAAAAAAAGGGGGGGGCAAGAAGTTAGGAGGGACATTAGAGGTGTCGGGGTGGATCCAGGATCACTTAGGAGTAGGAGGGGGCTGAATGTGATTAAAATATATTTATGCATATATTGCAAATTCCCAAATAATTAATTAAAATATTAATTTAAAAAGATATGGTCACAGAAATGTGGGAGATTCTGGGTTTAAATTCAGTGGAAGCAACTACTTCTTCCATGACTTCTCAGAGCCTTCATATCAGTAGTGTGGTGTGTGAATCCCCAAGAAGAAATAAGCTCAGAGCAGCAGGAGGTGGGGAGGGGGCTAGAAGAGCTGTGACCCGCATTACACTTGTTAAAGGAACTGCATTCCTAAGGCTCTTTCCTTGAATCGTTTCTTCTACTTAGAAGCTAGCAACACAGAAGATTCAGCAGACAAACTAAGCCAAATGGAGCAGAAAACAAACAAACAAACAAAAACACATACCTGGTCAAAAATCCCCATGGCTAAAACAGGTAATGATGTGTAAACGATGTTAAAAAGAGTGATGAACCACTGGTCATAGACAGTCTGAAAAGAAGCAACGCATAAGTGAGAAACATCATAAATAAAGTGAGAACACTCATTTTCAGGGCTAAATAACTTGACTTTCTGAGGCGGGTAGAAAAGCACGAACTCCCATCTCCGGTTCTGTCTGTCATCAGCTCTGCTGGCTTCATGGACACAGGACTTCTCTACCTTTCTGTTTCCTGATTTCTGTTGTTTTGTTTTTTTAGCTGTTATTTTTGTTGTTGTTGTTGTTGTTGTTTTTGTTTTTGTTTTTTTGTTTTTGTTTTTGTCTTTTTGAGACGGGGTCTCTCTGTAGCCCCAGCTGGCCTGGAACTCACTATGTAGACCAAGCTGGTCTTGAACTCACAGAGATCCGCCTGCTTCTGCCTCCCAAGTGCTGGGATTAAAGGCATGTGCCACCACGCCCTGCTAGTTGTTATTGGTTTTAAGACAAGGTCTTGCCATGTAGCCCTGGTTGGCTTCGATAGGTAGCCCAGGCTAGCCTCCAACTTGAAGCTATCCTCCTGCCTCAGCCTCCCATGTGCAGGGATTGCAGGCATGCACCACCACACCCAGCTCTAACTCATTATCTCTGAAGGGGTGTCATGTCCTTTTCACAGAGTGACAGAGTGTCAGTGGTGGTAAGAGGAGCTAATGTGTGCAGCATACTGAACACAACACACAGTACGAGCACATGTGGGGCCCCAGACTCTTGTGATGGTCACTGCTTCACTCGCCAAGGTTTTTTTGTTTTGTTTTGTTTTGTCTTGAGACAAGGTCTCCTTGTAGCCCCAGCTGGCCTGGAACTTGCTATATAGACCAGGCTGGCCTTGATCTCAAAGAAATATGACTGTCTCTGCCTCCCAAGTGCTAGGATTAAAGGCATATGCCATCATACCCAGCCACTCTCCAAGTTTTTAATGACATATTACAAGTCCAAATGTGTGATCTAAGCGAATCCACTTTGTCTTCACAAAGAATCAATGAAAGTCTTCACAGAGATATCCAGAAATGAGGCTGTTATCCCTACCCTGCATTTAAATAGAGAGTTCTCTGCCAGAGGAGCACAAAACTAAGTGCTCACTGCACTGGTTTGAGCAAGGCAATAGAACATCTCACATGTATATAGGATAAGCTGCAGAAGATGTTCTTGCATGACAGGTTGGGGATGTGTCTGAATTGGTAGAGTGCTTGCCTAGCATGCATGGAGTCCTGGGTTTGATCTCCAGCAGTGCATAAACCAGAGGTGTGGCATACACCTGCAATCCCAGTACCTGGGAGGTGGAGGCGGGGGGATTAGCAGTTCTAGGCCACCCTCAGATACATAGTGAGTTTGAGGCCAGCCTGGACTATAAGAGACTCTTATCTCCAAAAATACAAGACACACACACAGACACACACACACACACACACACACAAAGATAGCCTTGCATGAGCCTCACTAGAGTCCATGAGACATGGAACAAATTGTGTCCCCATCTGTTGATGAGTACTTAGAGAGGTGGAAAGGGAGGTAAAAACTAAAATCCAGATCTCTAGCTCCTAAGTAATGACCATTCCACCACAGAGCTATCATTCATTCATTTATAATTAAATGAGAAATCACAATGCATCAAATCCTAGGTTCGAGGCAATAATAATACATGATCACTCAGATAAAGATTTATCAAGAAATATGTGTTGCAATGGCAAAGGGAAGAGATAATAAACAACATCAAATTTTGAAAGGGGAAGTGAATGGGTAAGTTAGAAGATAATAAATACTAGAGAAGACAGGAGACAGGGATGTGGGATCGTTATAATTATAATAAACTGACTGAAGATGGTCTCACTGACAAGTGACAAAACCTAAAAGAAATAAGGATTGACTGTGCAGCTTTCCAGGACAGTAGCACTCAAAGATTTAAGAAGATACCATGAAACATGTCTAAGACAAGGAAGCATCCAGTATACCCAGAGAACAGCACATCTGCCAAACGGGTGGCACAGAGTCCCCCATAAGGAGGATGAGAGATGTGCTAGATGAAAGAAGAGCGTGTGTGGTGGTACACCCTTACAATACCAGCACTCAGGAGGCCAGGGTGGGGGAAGACGATTGCGAGTTTGAAGTCAACTGAGTGGGCACAGTGAGATGACGCCTCAAAATTAAGAATTACTAATGACAATGATAATACTTAAACAAAAACTGATAAAGACGATACCCTATGGCTAACTGTGCTTGCAGGTACTGCAGGATTTTAACAAAGGAGCAAGCTGATCAGTGAATTCCAAGTCCCAGGCAGAGACCCTGTTTCAAGAAACAAGCTCTGGGACTGGAGAGATGGCTCGGTGGTTCAGAGTACTGACTGCTCTTGCAGAGGACCTGGGTTCCATTCCCAGAACGCACATGGAGGCTAACAACAGTCCATAGCTCCTGTTCCAGAAGATCTGCTGCCCTCTTCTGTCCTCTACGGGTATTGCATGACATGGGTACATGTACATACATACAAGCAAAACATTCATATACATAAAATGAAAATAATAAAAATTTTAAAAAAGAAACAAGCTCCTAAGGAACGACACCCAAGGTTGGCCTCTAACTTTCACATCTTCACATACACATGCACAGACACACACACACACACACACACACACACACACAGGCCCTGATTTATAGCATTTGCTAACTTGTATGGTATGAGCATTTCTCTAGGCCTGGTTTCAAGCAATGATACTCCTAAACACAGAGTTGGTAATAGATATGCAACAGTGTTTATTATTACACACAATTATAAATATATACTTTA